CCCCCACCCAACACCAATCCCCATAGATCGCCACCCACCTATCAGACTACTTACCTGCAGCAGGGGCAGAACTAGCAGCAGGAGCTGCAGAGCCAGGGGCAGCAGAAACAGCTACAGCCCCACCAGCAGGCACACTAGCAAGTTTACCAACACCTGAACAGAAAGAATGTGAGATGAGAACAGGGGCCCTGCCAAGAAAGCTCTTCCACAAGGGTAGTGACCAAGGGAAGTTATCACACTAGTGGCCCAACATACTCACACTACTGTCACCTGCTTTCACTCTAAATCACAAGGCAACCTTGTACAAACTGAGAAACAGTAATACTATTTAGGATTTTCCCCTATCCTGACCCACTAAGAACTTTGTTTCTGGAAATTAGCCCATCGTGACCTTAAGATGGACAATCTATGTATGGGCCACAAGAGTTCATGACCAGTCTGGGCTACACAAAAAAACAATTCTTGTCTTAAAACAAAAATAAACCAAGGCTCTTACACAGATAATCCCTATCTCAAAAAACTAAAAACACAAACAAACAAGCACACAAAATAAGCTTTGGGTTAGAAAGATGGCTCAGCAATTAAGAGAGCCCTTATTGTTCTTCTGGATCACCCAAGTTCAATTCCCAGCACTCACATGGCAGTTCAGACCATTCCAGAGGATCTGACACCCACACAGGCACATATGCAGGCAAACACCAATGAACATAAGAATAAAGTTTCCACACATGCAGAATACATGTGTATATATGAAAACAGTGATACATGCTTATAATCCATTAGTCAGGAAGTAGGTGGATCTGAACTCAAGGCCAGCCCCCAAATAACTAACTTAAGTTAAAAACTTAAGACTGGGCTGGGCAGTGGTAGTACATGCTCTTAATCCCACTGACACTCAGGAGGTAGAGGCAGGCAGATATCGTGAATTAGGGGTGAACCTGGTGTACAAAGTGAGTTCCAGGACAGCTACAACTGTCACACAGCAAAACCCTTGAAACCCACTCACCCTGAAACACTTAAAAAAAAAAAAAAGAGTATATCCAAGATCTTTTTTGTCACAGGGGTGAGCTCACAAGGCAGACCATTTTCTGAGCTGGTTTTGTCTGCCATGTACACAGGACAAGAACATAGCCGGTAACTGATCAACTTGCAAGTTAGTCCCAGTCTGTTGGCATCAGAAATCTATCCACCTAGCAAGAGAGGCTTAAGAGTACAAACCAATTTTAGAAAACCCAGACCTAGCTCACCAAAAAGGCTCTCTTTTCACACCCTGGAAGGAGCAATAAAAGTGTGTTCCCACTGTGAGCTCCTGAATGTGTTCAGAAGTGCTGCTGGCACAAGCCTAAAAAGGCTTTGCCAAACTCTGACAGGGCTTCCAGGATGCTCTGGTCCACAAGCGAAGCCTGACAGATCATTGACTGATCTGCAGGGATTAGGATGGACCATAAACATGTCCTTGCCCTAAATAAACTCACCCTGGGCGATGACATCCTCAATGTTTTTTCCATTCAGCTCACTGATGACCTGGAGTAGACAACCATACCCAGTGGTCAGTATCAACATATCCATACCAGAACCGGTGGTGCAATACACAGGAAAGTGTTCTGAAGCTTCTAGACCTACACTATACTCACAATAGCTGGCCCACTGCCACAGGACTGAATCTTGTGAACAAAGATGCTGGCAATGGGAAACCTTACTTTTCTAAAGGATTTTACTGTTTTGGGTTGTCTTTTTTTCCAGACAGGATCAAACTGTAGTTTGGGCAGCTACTCATTCATGCCAAGTCCTGGGGTTTGATTCCCAGCACTTATACCTCCAGCTCCAGGGAGACCTACATGTCCCTGACCTCTGAAACATCGCATCTACACTCATGTGGATATATCTCCATACTGAACACAGTAATAACCCCCCAAAAAATCTCATCTAGGCCAGATGTGGTGGTGCACACCTTTAGTCACAGCACTCAGGAGGCAAAGGCAGGCAGACCTCTGTGAGCTCGAGGCCAGCCTGGTCTACAGAGCCAGTTCCAGAACGGGCTCCAAAGATACGGAGACACTGTCTGAGAACCCCCCCCCCGAAAAAATCTACACGTGGTCTAGGATAACAAACCAGAGCTAACAGAGTGAAAGTTTGTCACAATTTTTTTTAAAAAAATAAAACCGCAGGGTAGTGGTGGCACATGTCTTTTAATCCCAACACTTGGGAGGCAGATTAGGGGCCAGCTTGGTCTACAGTGCAAGTTCCAGAACAGGCAGGAGTGTTTCAAAGCGAAACCTTGTTTAAAAAAAATAATAATACCACACAAATAAGTTGCATTAAACTTGTACAAAACACGTCATCAGACCTTTGGTTTGCATTGATTTGAATTAACAAGGTCCTCAAAAGAGTATTTAGCAGAGCTGGGCGGTGGCAGTGCACGACTTTAGTCCCAGTACTCGGGAGGCAGACCTGAATTCGAGACTATCTTGGTCTACAAGAGCTGGTTCCAGGACAGCTAGGGCTGTTTCAGAGAAACCCTGTCTCGAATAAGCAAAAAATAGGTCTCCTCCATCCATCTTTTCCACCGAGTCACCTACATATCTTTTTTAACGTAAGGCCCAGTTCTAATATGATAACGTTAAGGGCCACCTGTCGACATTTGTAACCGCACCACAGGGTGCAGGGAAGCAGAAGGTACCTTGTTGAGCCGGTCATCATCAGCCTCAATGCCCACGCTGTCTAGTATCTTCTTAATGTCTTTGGCGCTAGGAGAGGAGTTGCCCCCAAGGGCGGCAAGCAAGTAAGAGGCGACGTAGCGCATGCTGAAAGGGACAGAGAGGATACGGCGGTGGCGTTACCCAAGAGGCCTTCTGCTTACTCCTCCATTTTAGTCAACAAGTGAGGCCACGTGCGGCCCGGAGCTTCTGTCCACGCGAGGCCGTGCACGCCTCGGCTCCCGGCCGCCACCCCGCCCTTCAGTCCCGAACCCTGCCCGCGGCCCGCTCGGCAAGCCCACTCACTTGGCTGCTGCGGACAGGCCTCACGCGTGCGACCTCGTCGGCGTCCGGCAGCGAAAGGAAGACGCTGACGCAGTGGGCGGGGGTAAACTGCTACCCAGAAGCCCCCGGGACGCGCAAGGCGCCGTGCGGGGACGCCTCCCATTGACGAAATGAGCGACCGGAAGGAAGCCATTGCCCCGTCTCCAGTGGTGTTCCCCCACAACAAAGACAGCGGGTTGTTTAGTGGCCAGGTTCTCATGTAACGAGGGCGGGCGAGATTCCCCGAAATCCATGAGGACACGAGCGAACAACCTCGAGGGGCTTTCAAATCCCTTTAACGTCTCACGTTCCCAGCATTCCACGCGGCACTAACTCCCAACATGCAGTGCTGAGGCCCCGCCCGAGCCGTAACTTTCATGGTGAACTGCAAGTCCCATGATGCATCGTTACCAGAGTGAAGCTTGCCACCGGAAGTTCCGCCTTTTTACCTAGATGTCTTTCCTGGAAGTTTAAACTGAATTGGTGGGTTTTTTGCTGGCCTTAGACAGCAGGCCTCCGAAGGCGGGCTGAGGCTAATGACTCCAATGTTTAGATGGCCTGGAAAAGGTGGGCGAGCTGTATGGAGCTTAGTGATTGCGCCCATATTTCGTGACTTGCTTTTTGAGACAGGATTTCTCCTTACAGTCCTGGCTCTCATGGACATCTCTATGAAAAGCATACTGACCTCGAACTCACAGAGACCTATCTGCCTGTCCCTCCGGAAAGTGCTGGCGTGGTGGCGCACACCTTTAATCCCAGCACTCGTGAGGCAGAAACAGGAACATCTCTGAGTTTGTGGCCAGCCTGGTCTACAGAGTGAATTCCAGGACAGCCAGGAGTACGCAGAGCACCCCTGTCTCAAAAAAGCAATACAATAAAACTGTGCCTTTACATCGGACTCGAGAGCCTTCCTTTTTTTGCCTCTAGGCACGAAGAGCCTGACTTTGCGGAGCTGTTGCAACAGTTACCCATGTTCTTGGTTTTGGGTAGTGATGAAGCCTAAATTATCAGCCTCATTTTGTCCCTATCTGCCCAGGACAACCGGGAGACAATTGAGTGTGCAAAAGGCACATATGACCAAGCATGATGGCCTGAGTTCTGTACTAGAGTTCACGTGGTATAAAGAAGTTACTCCCCCAAGTTATCCTCCAACTCACGAATACATGCATAAATAAATGTAGAATAGAGAAAAAGAAAATCCTAGCCTTAGGTCAGGAAGCTTTTTGTCTTTCAAGACCAGTAAAATCTTCCCAAGTAGTAACTTTGAGCTGAGAGAGAAGTCTGCTTTTACCATGCCAAGACTAGAAGGTAGCTGGAGAGAGGTTATGTTGACAGTTGGCTGTGGAGGACAGCCTCCCAGATAGTGTACACCTTACTTTGTATGCAGTGCCTCACGTTGCTAGATTGAGCCCTACTTGGTGTTGCTGTTTTACTCACACTTAAGGCACAGAGGCTTTTTTTTTTTTTTTTTAAGATTTATTTATGTATACGAGTACTGTTCTGTATGTCTGCATGGCGAAGAAGTCATCAGTTCCCATTATAGATGATTCTGAGCCACCATCTGGGTGGGTGCTGGGAATTGAACTCAAGTCCTCTGGAAGAGCAACCAGTGCTCTTAAACACTGAACCATCTCTCCAGCCCCAAGAGGAATTTTCTTTCTTTCTTTGTTTTAAGATTTATTTATTAATTATGTATACAATATTCTGCCTGAATGCTAGAAGAGGGCACCAGATCTCACCACAGATGTTTCTGAGCCATCATATAGCTGGAAATTGAACTGAGGACCTCTGGAAGAGTAGCCAATGCCCCCAATCACTGAGCTATCTCTCCACCTCCCTAAAGGGATTTTCTTATAGAGCTATAATGAAGTAGAGAACCCACCTGGCAAGATAAGGGTTCAGTCTGAATCACAAAAGGTTTAAGCTAGACTGTGCATATTGTGATTTTTCTTGCTTTTATTTTTTTAATGAATGAGGCAATTTATTAACCCAGCATCCTTTGTTCTAATTCTTCTTGTTGGCAGCTGCCACCTGTCCAGCAATCCTGTCCAGATCCCTCTGTCCCTGAGGTGTTAGCTTTCGGCCCCCATCTTGGTCCTTTTCCACCATTTTCAGCCCCTCCAGGGCTTGGAGGACACGGCGGGCCACGCTCTTGGAGCCTCTGCTGAAGTGGCTGGGTCTGACACCGTTTCTCTGCCATCCTCCGTAGATCTTGGTCATGGAGCCAACCCCAGCACCACCACGGAGGTACAGGTGCCGTGCTGTTGAAGCAGCTCGCGTATAGAACCAGTTCTCATCATAGGGGGCAAGTTCTTTGTGTTTAGCCAGCTTGACCGTGTCCACCCATTCCGGGACTTTCAGCTTCCCAGACTTCTTGAGGAAGGCTGCCAGAGCTCAGATGAACGAACTCCTGCTGGTTAACGTCTTTTACAGTAACTCCAGGCCTCCACGCTGCCAGCCAGGGGAAAGGCTCTTGCTTTTTTTTTTTTTTTAAACAAAGAGTCATTTTGTTTTGGTGGCAAACGCCTTTGGTCCCAGCACTTGGGAGGCAGAGGCAGGCAGATCTCAGTGAGTTCAAGGCCAGCCTGGTCTACAGAGTGAGTTCCAGGACAGCCAGGACTGTTACATAGAGAAACCCTGTCTCAAAAAATACAACCAACCAAACAAAAGATTATGTGTTTTGCTTGCATGTATGTGCAGCATGTGTGTGCCTGTGCTCCTGGGGGTCAGAAGAGGGTACCAGATACTCTGGAACTGAAATTAGGGATGATTGTGAACTGCCCTGGGTGCCAGGAACCAAACCAAGATCTTCAAGAGCAGCCTGTAGTCTTAACAGCTGAACCATTTCTCTAGCCCCCTCGTTGATTTTTTTTTCTTTTTAAATGTGAATATGTATGTGCCTGCTTGTTTGTGTGTGTCCCCCATGTATACAGTGCCTTCAGAAGCAGGAAGAAGGCATCAGTTCCCCTGGAACTGGAGAAGCACACAGTTGTAAGTTACCGGCTTGCCTGGAATTCACAGAGATCTACTTGCCTCTCTACTTTCAGAGTGCTGGGGTCAAAGACTTGCACACCATACCTGGCATGATTTTTTTTTTAATTGTTGTGATTGGGGGGGGGCTGTTGTTTTCGTTTGTGTGTTTTGAGACAGGGTTTCTCTGTAGTTTTTGAACCTGTCCTGGAACTCACTCTGTAGAACAGGCTGATCTCAGATTTATAGAGATATATGCCTGATGTGATTTTTTTTCTTTCTTTCTTTTCTTTCTTTTTCTTTCTTTCTTTCTTTCTTTCTTTTTTTTTTTTTTTCTTTTGAAACTCCATACACAACGGGGCTGGAAAGATGGCTCAATGGTGAAGAACACTCTTGCAAATTGAAGTCTTGTACCACCATGTCCAGCTCACTAGTGTAAAGTTGCTTTTGAGACAGGGTCTTGCTGTGCAGCCCAGGATAGCAGCCCTCCCGTCTCAGCTAGGTACTGGGTTTGCAGGTGAGCATAGTTATACTAAGCTCCTGATACTATTTTTTATAAGGATCCTTCTGGCAGCTTTATGGGAACAGTGCAAAAGAGACAGGTGCTAGAAAGAATGGAAGCAGGGAGACTCAGCAAGGAGTCTGCCCATCACATAGACTGTAGACTGTCCACTTGTTCAGTTCCAGTCCACCACTCTGTTGAAGATGCTGAATGTTGGTTTTGATAGTCATCAGTTAAAGAACTTAGGCAAGATCTATCTCAACTTTATTTTATTTATTTTTTTCTTGTGAGATCCACAGGATTCAGGAAGGAATAGCCAAAAGCTTACTGTCTAGGAAGCTGGCCCAGAGAGGTGTTCAGTGAGGACAAAGCTCCAACAAGCGGGTGTTCACTGCAGAGCCTGGGAGCCTGGGAAGAAAGTCCTAGACTCGGTGGTTCTCAACCTTCCCAAGGTCGTGACCCTTTAATACAGTTTAATACAGTTCATTTTGTAGTGACCTCCTAGTAAAATTATTTTCATTGCTATTTCATAACTGTAATTTTACTAGTGTTATGAATCATAATTAAATTTTTTGAAGATAGAGGTTTGTCGAAGGGGTCTCGACCCCACAAGTTGAGAGTTGCTGTCTTACAAGGTTCGCCCAGGAAGCCCTTGGTGCTAGCCGCACTTTGGGCATTCAGAGTTCTAGCTTCTAACAAAGAGTGAGATAATTTTATAAAGTTCTCCCCCAAATTCCTGCCTTAGAATGTACTTGGGGCCCAGGCTATGCAGTGTCACAGTATGTCTCGGGTTGTGGAGATCGCTACACCAGCCTCCCTACTGCGGGCCACCGAACAGGAGGTGGGAGTCAGAGTTCCAGGGAGCTCCTACTGGCTAGCGGGGAAGGGCGGAGCCCGAACCACTGCCCGCCCGGAAGCGCGCCGGCGGGAAGCCGGCGTGGAGCGCGCCTGTGGAGGCGCGGAGATCTTCATAGCAGGTACTCAGTGGGCCGCGGGAAGTTCGCTTCAGTGGCGGGACCAAAGCGACTCCACACCAACGGAGCCCCTCTCTGCGTTTCCCACATGACAGAGGTGTGAATTGGGAATTGTGGCGCAAGAGCCTCTTCCAAGGGCCGCGATATGAGATCTGAGCCCTGGGACCCCAAAGTGCTCTTGGCTCTTCTTCGCACTGTTTGCTGACCCACTCATACACTGCGAAGCTGCACTGGAAGAGGGTCCTGGGTCGTCCCAAACTAATGAGTGTGAAGGTTGAAGGTGGACCCTTATTACAAGAGCCCTGTAGGTGGTGTCAGGGGTCACGTGGCTATATTACCCTTGTCTTTGATCTAATAGAGTTCTGTTTAGCTGTTCACAGTGTCTCCCTGCCTGACACCCCTCCCGGGCGGCGGGGGGATCCAGTTCTCATTTATAGCACAGATATAGGTCCTAGGGCTTCAGTGGTCATCCCTCTTTGTACTCGTCAGGCCCTGGGTTCTCGGGCCAGTGGTTTTAAGAGCTCCTTGCTTCCAGGCTGAGTTATTGTTAACTCTGATCGGGAGAAGGAACTGGTCCCCTGTTGTTCACTCCTCCCCCTGCTTCTGCAGCTTCCCTCAGCCTTGCCTGAACAGGCTCGCTTGGCAAGCTGGGACATGTCTGGTCCCCGAGGACCTTCCGTGGGTGATGGCTACAGTGTCGGAGGGGCTGGAGTCGGAGGAAACTGCAGCTACTGCAGAGGATGCTGCAAGACCCGTTGTGGAGGCTGTGGATTCCAGGCCTGGGGCACCTTTTCTCCTGGCTGGGAACCAATTGAACTTGGACATACGTCCAGGGGGCTGCCATCGGCTGCAGTACCTGTGTTCCCAGCAGCCCCCAGAGCTGCTGCGGGTGGAGTTCTTGCGACTCAGTACCCACGAAGACCCTGGACTGCTAGATGACACCCTAGCCCAGGTTCCTTGGAGTCTGCTGCGCCTGCGCTCTCTGGTCCTCAAAGGTGAGTACCCTTGCTACTGACCTTATTCTTATCTCTAGCCCTGCTTTGACTCTGCTTATTGGTCCACAAAGGCCATCTTGTCCCAGCCCTCTTCTTCCTGCACCTCAGGAATGAACCCCTACCCCACCCCTGTTCCCTGTCCTCAGCCCTATCACCTTCCTCCCCAAAGTGAGGCTGGCTGAACTCTCTCTCCTGAGCCTGGACAATGAAGGTGCTCAGTTGGATCTCCGCAGATCCCAGTTGTTCTTGGGTGATACTGCCATCTGATATGAACTGGTGGTCTTCTCTGTCTGCCTTTCTGTCTTTCTCTGTCCCCATGGCTGGCTTCAAAGGGAAGCATCCTTCCTACTGCTTCTCTGGTAGTCAGGGCTGAATTGAGACTCCAACTCTGAGGGCTACAGTTGTCTCCCCCACTTCCAGGGGGCCAGAGTCGGGGTGCCCTGGGTGCCTGCCTCCATGGTACCTTGACCACTCTGCCAGCTGGCCTGAGTAACTTGGCGTACCTGGCCCACCTGGACCTGAGCTTCAACAGACTGGAGACACTGCCAACCTGCATCCTGGAACTGCGAAGCTTGGATGCGTTGCTGCTTTCTCACAACTGTCTCTCAGAGCTGCCGGAGGCCCTGGGGGCCCTGCCCACCCTTACTTTCCTTTCTGTGAGGCACAACTGCCTGGAAAGTTTACCTACAACACTGGGGTCCCTGTCCACTCTTCAGCGTCTTGATCTCTCTGAGAACCTTCTAGACTCCATACCCTCTGAGATTGGAGACCTTAGCAGCCTCAGTGAACTCAATCTGGCCTCCAATCGGCTGCAGAATCTCCCAGACTCCCTTGGTGAGTAGCCATGGTACCAGCTTTGGTTTGCCAGCTAATGTAGAGTGCCCCTTGGTCACTGCCTAGACCTCCATTCCCACGTGGGTCCCTGCAGCCCTCCAGTCTTGGGACTGGCTTGGCCTGTGAACCCTTACTGCTCCTGGGTGGCCCCTTGACTTTGCTTCTACCTCCTTGGTTGTTCATAGTTCACAAGCATCTTTATCCCTCCACGTGATAGAGCCTGAAGCTTTTAGTGTGAATGTCTTGTCAAGGTGCCCAGGCAGGGCCACCATGAGTGGCCCTCTGCCAACCCTAAGCAAGCACTTGCCTGCAGCGGGGCTGCGTTCCCTGCGGCTCCTTGTTCTGCACAGCAATCTCCTGACCTCAGTGCCCACTGGCCTGGCCCACCTGCCACTGATCACTCGGCTTGACCTGAGGGACAACCAGCTCCGGGACCTGCCTGCTGAGCTACTAGACGCTCCCTTTGTGCGCCTGCAGGGGAACCCTCTGGGTGAAGCCTCTCCAGCACCCCTAAGTCCCTCAGGTAGGCTTGGCATGGGGAATGGCCAGGCTATGAGAGGATGAAGGCATTTCATCATGCTAACCACATGCCTATCCTTTGTGCAGACATATCCCAGATTCCAGAAATGCCCAGGCTATTCCTGACCTCAGATTTGGACAGGTATGGGTGGGAAAGTGGCTAGAAGACATCTGTCTACCCTGTCTCCCTGGCCACATTGGAGTACCTGCCCTCACACCTCTTTCCTCACTCAGCTTCCTTGTGACTCCCCATGGCTGTTCTGTGACCTTGGCCTGTGGTGCCCGCCTCCAGTTCCCAGCAGGAGCCACCACTACACCCATCACCATCCACTACAGACTGTGGCTGCCAGAGCCCCACCTGGTCTCCCTGGGACCTCATGATTTCCTGCTTAGTGGTGTTCTGGAGCTGCAACCCCATGGGGTGGCTTTCCAGCAGGTATGTCAAGGACGGGTAGGGGGCAGACATGGCCTAAGCCTGGCCCTCTCACATGTTTCTATTGCCTGACAGGACGTGAGCTTGTGGCTGCTCTTTGTCCCCCCACGAGTCCGTCGTTGCCGTGAGGTAGTTGTGAGGACACGGAGTGACAGCAGCTGGAGTGACCTAGAGACCCACCTGGAGGAAGAGGCACCCAAGGTGACTGCTGCCTAGGCTCTTGGGAGTGAGTGAGGGGGCAGGAGCAGCCTGCCCTGACACACCCACCCCTGCCCACTCTCCCTGCCCTGACCCTGCCCTCCCATGCGTGTGTTCCAGAGGCTCTGGGCTCGCTGTCAGGTGCCCCACTTCTCCTCGTTCCTTGTGGTTTTACGCCCTGTATCCAACACTTGCCTCTTGCCACCAGAGGGAGCACTTCTCTGCTCTTCAGGTCATTCTGGGGTCAAAGTCACCTTTCCCTCTGGGGCCACAGAAGAGCCCCGGCAAGTCTCCATGCAGGTATAGTCAGGGTGGGGCCAAGGGTGGCAGGAGGTGCCTTGGCATACAGGAGGGTACGCAAATGGTTCTCTGTCCAGGTAGTGCATATGGCTGGTCTAGAGCTGAGAGCTCTCTTGGAAGAAGCAGAGGCGTCGGTGAGCCCTTTGCTGTGCCTCTCACAGAGTGGCCCCCCCAGCTTCCTGCAGCCAGTCACTGTGCAGTTGCCCTTGCCCCCTGGCGTTACAGGTGAGGCTGCATGCTGTAGGACCAGGACCAAAGATGGGTGCCGAGAAGGGGAAACTGCAGTTAGAGGGCTTCCAGCCTTCTGCCATTTCCTGTCGTTTCCAGGTTTCAGTCTGGACCGCTCCCACCTTCATCTGC